TTTTGCACTTGTCGTACTTCAACACTTTGCAGACGTTTGCCCTTTAAAAGTTCAACAAAGCTCATCTAAGCAGTGTGTGACGTTCGAATTGCCCACACATAAAGTGCTGCACCTCAGAGAATGCAAAGAATCGGAAGAGTCGTCTGTCTGATGTCTGCAGACGAATAACTACTCAGACAGTGAGTCATCACTTAACGACACTTTCTTCAACATAAATGTCATGCACCTGCTTCTCTAGAAACCTCTTTTTATGCGATCGAAAACTGGGACGATGTAGACAGACGGGTGTTCTATGCATTGCCTACTTGACTTTCGTGTTATCACATGGTGATTTTCTAGAGTTCAAGTGTGTTTTGTGTAATATATTATAAAAAATTCGCGCAGATTGAGTTTTGCGGCGCAAACCTAGCTTTCTGTGGCATTTTTTTCGTTTTCATGGCAGAGAAAGGCTTTGTCCATGACAGCTATGTCCAAGTCATAGTCTGCCTCTATTTGACCAGTCATCCGCTTAAATGGCAAGACCTTGGCGTCTAGAGATGCTGTCTTAATGGTGCTTGCATCACAAAACTGTTTCATGAACTTCTTACTAGCACTAGCCCAATGATTTTAATGTTTCATAAAAAATTAGTGAAATAATAGATACTTTTTGCATTCTCATTATCTCACCTTAATCACCTTAAAGGCACCGTCCACCCAGATTCTCGACTTCCCGGTTTTTATCGTTTCAGGTTTTTCTCATGACTTTGATTCTGAATATGAAGTCGAGAATCCGCGAAACTCTGACAATCCCCGTTTTGGAAAACCCGTAAGTCGGCTTTCCGGAACGGTGATTGGCTGGGCGCGCACGGATGAACGGGCATGAATGGGGAGGGCGGTGGTCAGGGGGTCCCCGTGAAGCGACATTTTGCACCACAACTTGGGCATTGATAGGGGGCCCTACCATCTGCTTCCAAAAGCTCAAGACCCTCAACCTAGGGTGGACGGTGCCTTTAAAGGCACCGCTTCATACAAGGGTTTTTGAGAATTTGATATTGTCTAAAAGCAGGGTCCCTAACTAGAAAGCCAAAGTCCAGCTACAAAAAATAAATATCAAAGCGAGAAAAACGTTTTAGAATGTAGAAGCGCCTTAGATGACTCCGCCCTTAGACCTAAAAACAAAAAACTTAAACTGTCATAAACCGCCCTTCGTTATCGGTATCTACCCTGGACACGCTTTCGAGCCCATTATTTCCAGCGACCCGTGTTGATGGGAGCAGTCACCCTTTCCAGATCTAGTTTCTGAGATTTTCTCGCTTTGTAGATCACTTAGCTGAATGTTTCCCTATTATTCAGATCAAAACCACAGAGACCTGAATTTGGGTGGAGGAGAGCCACTAACAATTAGACCATCTATAGGAAACTTGCATTGAGGAAGTTCTGTCTTATCCGAGGAACCTTTTATGCAAAGGACCTTAAATATGGTAATCTGTTTGGTCATGAATTTAGGGCCTCTGTCAGTACCACTGTTTCGAGGTTCTGCTTTCAAAAAAAGAATGCTAAACCTTTTTCGAAGTTTCAGTGCAGTATATTGCAACAAGTGTCCATTGGTCTGATTAGTCTTTCCACTCTGCTAAATGTAATTACTCGAAGAGTGCAAGGTTACAAATTTGTGAGTGGTAAAAAATCCTGGTTCATTTACTCAGATTAACTTGATGGAAAATCAAACTTACAAGGTTATGAGCCAGTAATGTCAATGCTAGCTCTTTCTAATCACTTTTGTTTGCAATCAACTGCACTTTGTAATTTGAAGATTGCTCTTCTTCCTTGGCTAAGAGTAAAAAGTTCCGCTATGACAAGCGACTAGTTCAAGGAACCGGAATTTCTAAGCTTGAAGGCGGTGTCCAGGCAAATCTGGAGGCATACATTTTTGGCCTGGAAACTGATGAGGGGGTCCTAGTTGAGGCACTGCCCAAAAGGCAGCGCAAATGATTCATCTGATACGGCTATCCCCGAACACTCTGCGCCTGGGCTGTGACAGCAACACGCGAGTGACTTAGGATGATCCCAGAAGGTACTTTGTGATTCAAGAAACTTGACGGCTGGAAGGCGGGGTTTCGTGATACCTAATTAAGGCTAGGTAATGATTAGAGAGCACGCGAGCCGGAGAGACGCAAAGTGCGTCACGGACGCAAGCGGCCTTAATTAGGTCACAAAGCCCCGCCTTCCAGCCGCTAAGCCAGTTGAATCAAAGGTTAGTGTTAAAAGTGAGCGAAGTCATCTTCGGATTACGGTCATGGAGGCGCGAAGGGTTTTAGGGACGGATTTCTTAGCCATGAATGAATCATTTGCGCTGCCGACAGTGCTTCAATTGGGACACCCTCATCAGTTTCCAGGAGAAAGACACATGCGCCCAGATTTGCTTGGACAGCGCATTTGAAGCCATGTGCCACCCAAACTAAGGTTGGCGAGATTTTGACAGTGTGTAACGGCGGGGGCTCTAACTAGGTAATCGCTCAAGCCCCGCTGCAGAAAGGTGAATTCCGTGCCAGATTTTTGACATTTGTATATACTCTAATTCCCGCTTTCAGCTCACTTTCAGACCACCCACGTTGATGGGCGGTGCCACCTTTGGCGCTCCTATCTTCTGTACGATTTCCTCGCCTCGAGATTCATCTTTTGCAGCGGGACTTGGGCGATTGCTAGGTCAGGGGATCCGCCACTAAACAGCATCAAAACCTCAAAATTTTCTTATTGTGCGGGGTGCCTTTAATCGGGAACTAGTGCTACACAAAAAATCCGGATGACTTTTAGTATAGTATGGCATTGCCTATGCCCTGCCATTTTTTCATCTCCTCCATAACTCCTCAAAGAGTTTTTTTCGCAATCGCGCTACTGCTCCCAGGTGCTACCGCACTGCGCGCATATGTTGCTCTTCTAATAGGCAGTGTAATTTATGTCTCCAGTCCTTCCAAGTCCAAAGCACAGTATTCTCCTGCTGTTTTTGTCCTTATGCTGAACTATGTGGTTTCATAGCGAACGTCATCTCTGTGGATTCTGGCAAAAAGGGATCAGGGATCAAGTAGAGACACTCGATCCGTTCTAATGAGACCATAAGATTTGCATTTTTATCCCACACCCCCATAGCCATTTACGTACGTGAAACTTTTTCGAAAAGTTGCCTGAAATTGGAGCTTTTCTTTGCAATATTTATAGCTCTTGTTCTGCTCCATTCCTCTGCTCAACATATGTGCTCTTTAGGAGCTCTGTTCCCTCTTATCAGAAGCTATATATGCTAGCGTTAGATTTTTTTAATAAGAATTTAGAGTCCATAGATGAATCGCTACTAAGATATCTAAAAGCAATCACAATTCATCTGATAAGCGCCTTTAATGGCAATTTGAAAATTGCTCCGCACATTTTTATACTCTTGGACTGCGTCAAAAGGTTTTACCTAAGTCAATGAAAAACCAGCAATGAAAGCTCTAGGCCCTTATATGGAGCAAATTAGAAACGCTTTACCTTCTTATCTTTGAGCCCACTGATCTTCTCTACTTCATAATTAGAAAGATTATTTGCTGATTGCGAATCTTAGGTTACTGTGGTACCAATCAGCGCCCCAGCCGGTAGAGGGCTCCGTTTGACAAGGACAAGGCGATCGAACCTTTGAACCCTCTGGTCATATTGGACTTCACAACACTTCTTACTTGTCTTTACATTAATATAAAAAAATCTTTTGTGGGATTTGTAGTTTTCTCTGGTCTTTTGTGCATGTGAAATTCCCGCACAGAATGTTTCTTAGATTGTATGAACTCTGATTGTAACTTATGATATTATTTTGTATTTATCTCTGAAAAGCAAGGATTTTACTCACATTAGAAGAAGTTGAACTCGAAAGTCAAAAGCAGACATCTGACGAGAATTCCTTTTAGCTCAAGCACAGTTCACACAATTCCATCGCTTCGCAATTTTCTCAACAAGACAACTGCCGAGTTCATTCTATGTTGATCCTTCTGTATTTTGCTGTGATAGTTGTCCGACGTAACTGCTTGACAAACTGATACGACCGAAATGCAATGTGATCGACAAGCAATGACTCGTTACAATTGTCTTATCGGAAGAATCGCGAGGCGACGAAATCGCGTGAACTATGCCCAAGGTGTGATGGAAAAGCCACCAAACAGCAACAGAACCCAGACCAAAATTAGTAGACACTTTAGCATTGTTAGCGGCCGAAATTTGAATGTGCAATTTTTGAGCACTATTCTCGGTCAACTCGTATCGTCGTAATATGCCGACGGCATAGTTTCCAAGCACTCTTGAAAACCACAAAATTTTCTTTTCTAACGCTTTCAAATTGGAAGACTTTGCTCTAGCTGGAGAAGATCAGAGGACTGAGGTTAAGATTTTGACGTTGTAAAATACCGAAGCCCTTTAAAGCCTCGTTCTTCGTTATGGTCATCAAATATGAGACCCCCTCCCCGGGGCGCAAGTCTCAAAAAACCCGTTTCCTGAAACCTGAGTTCGAAGTTCACTCTTGAGACCACCCACGTTGATGGGCGGAGCCACCTGGGCACTTCTACCTTCAGAAGCTATTTTCTCGCTTCGGAATTCATCTTTTGCAACGAGACTTGGAATTATGCTTAGTCAAGGGTCCGATATTATAAGGCATCAGAATTTTAGAATCCTCACTCAACGTGGATGGTGCTTTTGAGACTTATGCTTTAAATTGATATTCTTGATTTCGCTCAGATCAACAACTTCTAGTCTACTTCTTCCCAAGTCTGTATACCTAATAAACTCCATGTTGACATCTTTTATCATTCAATTTATCATGAGATCGTGTAGGTTTAAGCTCGCTCCGCCCAGATACGTACCATGGCACGCATACATACATTCTCTCTATTGCCATGAGATAGTCTCATTCGTGACTGATCATCTCGTCAACAAGCGCGTCGACGTCGTCGTGTAAACATCTCCGCAACGTCTCCACCCCTCCTTACTTTCAAATTTACTGGTAATACATTCAGATATGTCACTCGGCAATCACAGCATCGTTTTCTTCCTCTGCATTCTATGGGTGAGTTTTTTGAGTGCGCGAAGTGTTTGGATGATTGGGGTACTGTAGATGTTACGGTAGGATTAGAAAAGTGCTTTCTTATCGAAGAAGGGTTCATGTTAGATACGGTAATAAGGTACAGTACTCCTGTCATCCAGAGCTTTGATACAGTAAGGTACAGTAAGTTATGCTGCCTTTCCCATTTTTAGATCTTCCAAACTGTTCTCTGTGAATTCCCGCCATGCCTGACCACAACCCCGCCGGATAGTCTCTCGTTGAATGTTGAGTGTAAAAAACTCGACATGAGCGTTGAGGTGAGCTCAGCTTTTCTTTACCATATCAAATTACCTCAGAGCGTTCCCGTATGCGAATCTCTGCAGAATCCGTGCAAACTTGAGCTTTTTCCGTTTTTTTCCCAGCAGCTATGTGTACGGCTTGAGATTTGGATTCATGGGGGGTGGTAGATAGATGTAAATTTGTCTTTGCTCGCATAAAAACTATTGTAAAAAACTCGTATCATGGTTAATAGTTACGAATGTGTGATATGGCAGTGCCAGTCCACCAGCTGAGTAGAACACTGATCAAAGCACGTTTTAAACAAACAGCTGGTGCTAGTGTCATGTGAAGAAAAAACTCGCGCCCTAGCGAGGGAGATAGTGCAAATTGAGGGCCTGAGAACGGTGAGATGGGAACTGTAAAAACGGTTTTTCTTTTTTGTTCTCGAACAACTAAGGAACTAAAATTTCGAATTTACATTGACCTTACGCAAACGAGCAGAAAAATATATTAGGTTGGTCTAAAAGTTCTTGCGCATCATTTTCAAATATTATTAACTCCTTTGCCACATAATGGATGTCCTAAAAACTGTGTTTGTTTGAAAGAGGAATCCATGCTATTTACAGTAATAAGCAGTACAGCACTCCGCCATAAGTTATTTGAAAAAAATCGAGAGTTAGAAGCAGTTGAAGGAAACCAGCCACGATTATAATTTTCGAGATAGATCAAAAATTGTGGAAGTATTTCCATATGAAAAAGAAAATGTTGCGCATTATTGTACTACCTTTCCCGCTATACTAGTGGGAATGTTCGAAAGTTAGGAAGCAAAGAAATCCTTCAGTTTTTGAGCAATTTTGAGAGCACACCTTAATGCTTCAAAATCGCAGAAGAGACCTGAAACAGTCATGAAACCGTAATCTTATGAGCTCCTCTTTCTAGGCTGAGACTGAAATTCGTGCCAAACTGAAGCAAAATGCAAGCATGAATAACTCGAAAAAAAATACACGAAAATGTTCAGCTAGAAAGAGGAGCTCATAAGACTTAGGTTTATGACTGTTTCGGTCTCTTCTGCGATTTTGAAGCATTAAGAGTGTGCTCAAAAATTGCAAAACTGAAGAGATTTCTTTGGCTTCTAACTTTCGAACTATCCCATAGTAATCTATTTATTTATTTATTTATTTTGTGCATTCATAGATGCTCCTGACGAACGTGGTTAGTGCAAAAAAAGCGAAAACAGAACAACAAATAGCCAATCATAGACGGTGTCTCCAGCAGCCATAGTGGATCCAAATTTAGAAGACAGCAAGCTTAGCCCACTAATTCAACAGCATAAATCATGGTGTGAAAGCCATAAGCGAATCACTTTCAAGCGAATCTAAAGAGGAAGCACCAAAGCGAATGGGCGAATCCATGCGTGCTTGGCGGAGGACCTCTTTCAGCTCCCTCTTACATCGCTACCATGAGAAACAAATAAGAGTTGAATAAAATGGGATGGCTTGGAAGAATATTGTGTACGATCCAAAGTAGCTTCTAAGCAAAATTGACTGCCGGAGACGAAACTAGGATAAGTGTTAGTACAACAATCATAACGTTCAAAGATTCAAGGCTCAAAAGGCTATAAAAGTCAGCACTTGAAGAGAAATTCTATTCATTCTCAGATTGTCTCAGTAGGAAGGATAAGTCAATTGCATTGATTTTACTCTTGAATACGTTTGTAGATGAGGTTTGCAGTGCAGTTTCTGGTAATAGTCTAAGCCATCGGGGGATTCTGTAAAACAAACTATTGAAAACCCAACAAAAACGCTTCCTGTAAATAAGTAAATAATGAATGTTAAACCCACCATATCTGTTTGTAGGTCTAAAAATCCAGTATTTACTTGGGGCAAGTCTCAATTCTTTATGCAAAAGTCGAAAACCAAAAACGAGATCAAAAAATATTCGTCTATGTTCTAAACTTTTCATTGCCAAAAACTTAAGGCGATTTTCGTAGCTCGGAATATCGACAAAATTGAGTTTTCTACGACACCTCAGGTACAGAATACGAGTAAAAGTTTGTTGCACTTTTTCCAGTTCAAAATATTTTCCTTCAAAAAAGGGGTTCCATATTACAGAACAATTTTTCATATGAGGTAACACGTAAGCTCGGTAGAGACGTTTGAGGATCATCGGATTGTCGGTATGTACGCTACGAAAAATCGCAAATAAAACCGAACAAGCTTCATTAACTGCATTATCAATATGAGCAGAAAAATTCAAATCGGAATCGATCAAAACGCTCAAGTCTTTGGCGGTAGAACAGTTTCTCAGTTTGTTTCCATTTATCTCATAGATTGGATTTTCAAGGTCTCCAAAATGCATGACAAAACTTTTTTCAAAGTTAATAGGAATGCCTAAACAAGCCGCCCAATGCCTCATTTTCTCAAGTGATACTTTCATTGCGCCTCTGACCTCAGCTTTATTTTCCGCATTGTAAAACCCATTCGCGGGAAAGGTAATACATTAATCCGCAGAATTTTTCTAAAATTACTTCCAGAATTTTTCGTGCCAGCCTGGAAAATTCCAATCTTGGATGATTTTCTTCAGTCGCCTCTAACTCTCGAACTTTCTCATGCCAATTCATGGCAATGCAATTGCTGTAAAAAGCATGGTTTTCTTTTTCTAATGTAAAATCAAAGAAATATATGAAATGGAAAGGAAGTTGATTTTTTGAATATGACGCGCAAGAACTTTCGGACCAACCTAATATCAAAGTGGAACATAAGTCTTGCACAAAAAATGGTATAGCATTTATTCATTGTGAATGATGTATGCATTTATTATCGTATACATGAGAGATTTTCTCTCAAACAACATTAAAGCTCAAATACAAGAATTCAGAAATACAACTTTTTATGGGGACATCGTATTTGCACAAGAATATTTTAGTTGAAAAAAAGTAAATTGTAAAACCCAAATAAAAATGAAATAACAAACTTTGAGGCCTTCACATTTCTGGAGTAAAATGTTGAAAAAACGTTCGAGGGTATGCCTTCCATAGGTTCTACTGCCGCGATATGACAATGATGTTTTGCTTTGAGAATATTTAGTAAGACTAAGACTTTCTAAATTCTACAATTTTGAATGGGCTCATTGAGACTGAAGGAGATTACGAGTTTTTAAAAAGTTTTGGTGCAAGACTTATGTTTCCCAACAGTATAACTGTTTTTTTCTCTTTGGAACAAGGAAATCCTTTAATCTTTAAATTGGAATTTGTTCCTTCGCAAAAAGTTCTAATTTCACCTTTCCTGAAGTACCTGAGCATAAGTCAGCTTCACTTCAGCTCAAAGCTACTGAAAAGCTTATTCGAATAACATCTGAAAACTTAACGAAGCATGGCACCACTGTACTTATTTATAAAGCAGGCTGAACAAGCAGCTCTTTTCGAGCGCGTTTTGTGAAATGCTAGGGAGGAGATCAAAGGTTGGTAATTTATAAAAAGTGGGAAAATTTGGGCCACCAATTTCTGCATTATTAGAAGAAGCTCTTTCAGAAAGAGTCATATAAAAAGAAATTTCTGCAGTTCCATTAGAACTATAAGATTTCGGAGTAAACAAGTCTAACCTTACAATAATCAAGCTTATTCACAAGCTTTGCTTGCCATTTCCCTCAATTGCACGAGATAATTTCGAAACTGTTGAGAACACAACTTTATAAGTTGATTGGGATGTTTGCAGCTGACACAATGGTATTACTTTAGGATGGCTCTTAATTTGTCGAATCTAAGACTAATGACCTTGTGCGTTCGTAAAATTATCTATCAATGAATTTGAAGGTCATACCTGCTAGGAAGCTTTGTGCTAATAATTGTAATACAAAGCCTGCAAGTAACAAATCAAAGTGCTAATTATTAGGAAGCGAATCGTTTCCGAGCATTCGCCTACAAATAAGTTGCTAAACCTAAGAGGGGTGATTTTGTGGCGTGTACTTTTTAGGAAGCTTTTCCCTTATACATAGAACATCAAGGAGAAGTATTGTAGGATCATTATATGATATGTTTATCCTGAAAAGTCTTTTTTCCGATGGGTGGCCTCGCGCCTCCTGGCGTGCACCTAAAATGATCAGAGAAAACAAAAAACAGATTGTTTGACATTACACTACCTATATCTTAATTCCTGAAACAGCTTCGGCGAGATTGTGTTGTCTTGTCGGTTCCTTCCCCCTGATGCCTACGGCCTAAAGGGCCAGGCATACTTCACGCGATTTCAGTCGCGACGCGATTTGGCAATTCGCCAGAACTCTTCAAGTCCAACACAAGCAAACTGCACATATATGGTGTGTATAACTTACTTGGATTGATAAAATGTCCTAATTTCAGTACATTTATTATGTGCTTACAGTGAGTTGTGGACAGTTGGAATATTGCCAAGTCCCGTCGCGACTGAAATCGCGTGAAGTATGCCCGGCCATTGAGGCATACCTCCCGCGATTCCGGTCGTCGCGATGTGGTACAACAACGACTCTTCGTAATTCGTTCCCAATGCGCTGCCTTTGATCAGAACATGATCTGTTTGCAACAGCTTACACGAGGTACCCAAATATGCGTTTGAGAAGCGCGCACGATAAAATTGTAGAAATTTGGCAAATTGCGAAGTCTCGTGAAAGCGGCGATTCGGCCGAATCGCGTGAGATATGCCTTGCGATTTCAGTCGCTGCGCGATTGGATACCGAACGACTGTTCATAATAGGTCGTCAGAGCGCATTGTCAAGGCAGGACTTGATCGGTTCGCAACAAATCACAGAAGCTACGCACTCATGTATTGGAGGACCGCGACGATAAATTTGGAGACATTTGGCAAACTGCCACTTCGCGTGAACATTGCGACTTAGCCGAATATCGCGCAAGGTATGCCTTAAGCTAGATGGTTAGGAGGCAATGTAGCTGCATCATCGTTGCACAGTCTTTGCCGCTGTCGGCTAATGTCCCCACGTAAGCTAGGACTACTCATCGATTAACGCAAACGAGATGGCGTTGGTTTGGACGCTGTCAAAGGCTTTCTTATAGTCATGTAGTTTTTTGTAGTTATTAGAACACGCAAACGGAACGGTACTTCCGGCGGACGTGACGACCGTCGAAACAGCTGAAAATGGTCCAAGCAGTTCCCTTGCGGAATTCGGCTTGGGGTTCGAGCTTTGTTCAGTGTCCTCTTGTGCAAGTGAGATGGTCTTCGCGGAAAGTAACACTCAGCATACGTATTAGACGGTAGTTTCAAATATACTCCCGTTCGCTCCTCGTAAACAGAAGGATGCGTAGTTTTGTACTGATCGCGACCTCCAAAGAGATGCTAAATGCTATGCAAGAATCTCGTGTATACGGTGTATTCCGGCTCCAGAAGCTTGACAGGAAGTGCTCTGGTCTTACAACTGTGGGCGTCTCCATAATCTGAATGGCGGTGCAGGTGGACTACGTTCTGTTCTCTAGCTGGCGTTCGTTATTAGTCGTTGGAGATGAGTCGCATTCGGATCCTGCTTCAGTGCTCTTTTCTTTCGAGCAATTTCTTGGTGTTCGTTGAGATACTTGCCAATTCCCGCGAGTTGTTTAGGCGCAATCTTCGCAGGCTCGCAATCCTTCCAAAATCCGCGTAGTCATACTTTGGGTCCTCTTTGATGGGCGACCTCTTCTTTTTGCAACACTATGGCAGAACTTCTTTTCCAATACTTTCGCTCGACGGAGGCGTAATCGGAGCCACCGCAGAGGGATAAAACACTAAGGGCCGCATGCACTAACATCCCCGCGTGGAGGGGATCGCAGCTTAAAAGAAAGCTTCATATACTAAAGCTCCAGATATCTAGATTTCGAGCTGTTTACCTGTCCGCAAGTATTCCTACTATCACTATGAACATATTGAACAGGAGCGATAAGCTGTACAAGCCGTAGTTTCCAGCACTTGTATGATCCCTGATGATCTCCAGCGCATTTCTTTAAAGTCATTTTTCTTTCTCCAAAGTTAACGAAAAGTTTCCAAAGTTGTGCAGATTATCTAACCCAACACTGCTTAGCATGTTGCTGATAAAAACAAGTGATGTACCAAAGTCATGAAATTCGCAATGAACCACAAGTCGAAAGTGGTTTATCGAAGAATTCGATTTTTCAAAAACTCATTTGTTTTCATCAGAAACATGCTTAGCACTGTTGTGTTAGATAATTAGTACAACTCTGGAAGGTTTTCATTAACTTCAAAGAAAGAAAAATGACTTTGAAGAAAAGCGCAGGGGATCGTCGGGGATCATACAAAAGTTGGAAAATGCAGCTTGTACAGCTTCTCGCTCATGTTCAATTTGTTCAAGTGATAGTAGGAATACTTGCGGACAGATAAACAGCGTGAAATCTAGATATTTGGAGGTTCAGAATGTGAAGCCTTCTTCTGAGCTGCGATCGCCTTCCCAGCGGGTTTGTTAGTGCATGCGGCCCTAAGACGTTGATTGAGCTTTACTCCTGTTGGTGGGAAAGTTCTCCGCTTAGTTGTTGCATCAGGCGACTCCCATAGCGGCGATTTTCTTCATAGAGTTAAAGTTTGCTGGACAAAGCCATACGGCGGAAAATAGCCCAGCGAGATGGTTGCCGTTTTTCTTCCAAAGTTCTTATCCAGAGTTCCTGATCCTAAATTCCTTTTCCAGTGGTATCCCGATTCTGAGTTCGTTTACAAAATTTCTTGAAAGGATTTTTTGTTGCGGACTTCCTCCTCTACGTCTTCGTAGAGCATCCATTTCTGTTTCATCAGCTGCTGATGTTGGAAACTATTAGTCAATGATGCTGTGCTCTTTTGACGTGAAAATCTAGAAAAGGAAGATAGCTTGTAGTGATAATTTGGTGTGTATGGGAATAAGAGTAAAGTGCAAGGTTACAGTCCAGTAGATTTCCTGCTTAATATAGTGCCCCTGCAGACGCGACAACTCTTGGGCGTCAACAATTGCCATTGCCAGCTTCCGCCAGTGTTTTTTAGCATTTTCTTTGCTTATTGTCTGCTTTTCAGGTACCTTCGTTGCTGATAAAGGAGAAAAGGGTAAGTTAGAGGGTAACTTCTGCTTTCTGATTAATTATATCATCGCTTAATCCCAGATATCTAGGTAAAGCCATGTTGCATCAGTATTGTGCGTGATTTTTGTCACTTCATGCCTCTTACTTCTTGCGAAGTATTCTTTTGAACGCTAGTATACTTCTGCGTTTGAATTATTGTCTTTATCATACGAAGTACTCGATTAAATGCTGTTTTTGGGGGGTGAAAGCCGAAATTGCTGCAAGCCAAGCCCTAGCGTTCAAAGAACTGCTTCGCAAGAAGAAAGAGGCACGAAGTGACGAGAGAAAAGCAAATGAGAAAAAATACACATGGAGCTGACGCGACGTGCTCCTACGTAAATACCTGAGGATAGCGATATTATAACTATTCAGGAAACAGAAACCTACTCTTTTAACTTACGCTTTTCTCCTTTATCAGCAGCGAATTTCTTAAAAAGCAAAGATTAAGCAAAGGAAACATAAGAAAACACTGCTTGGAAATCGCAATGGCATTTGTTGACGCCCAAGCGTTGTCGCGTTTGCAAGGACACTATATTAAGCAGGAAATGTACTCGACTGTATATGAATAACTCAAGCAAATGAAGAAAGGAACTTCTCTCCAAAATTAGTGGCAGTTACCATTTTAATGCCACAGTGGGGGTAAACTTCTGCTGGCACTATTGTCTCGTAATTCTCGAAGAACCTGGTCTGCACCTAATAATTACTATGTACTATGTAAGTACTATGTAATCACAATCTTTCTTCCTTTGCTATAATTCGAAATAGTATCGAAATCCTAGTCTTACGGAGAAAGCATGCTTTGAATGAACAATGCAATACAACTAGGTTCAATGGAAAAACTTTTCCAATTTTCGTTGTGTAAACAGGGGGAAGGAGAGGGCGGGAAGGGGGAGGGAGGGGGTCTCAGAAAAAAGATTGCTACGCTATCACACTGCCTGTTAAGATTATGTCAATAGCGAGGGTTTGGTTTTGCTGCTGCGTAGATTCTGCGCGAGTGCATGGCACGAATCACGCATCCCTACATCATAGCCTGCGGCAATTATCGTGAGGGAGCACATCAGCAAACTTCGCCTACTATATTTACTATCTAGTTAATTCACCCACTTCTCTTTGCAGACGCGCCTATATAAAGGTAGTTAGTTGAACGAAAATGAACGAGAAGCTTACGAGCCTGTTCGAAAACCTACCTCACTCCAGTGATAGCGCTACTGAAATCATCTCGTAACACCTCTTGGGATGTCTTCTTTAAATCCATTAAAATGAATGTCACACTAAAATCTTCAGACATCGCCTTTATAGACTACAGTCACAAATGAATAGCCAATTATGCCTCACCTCAGATTCTGCCACGTCAAAGAAAAAAGGTTATTTCAGGTTCACAACAACTGCGCCTCTTCCGTACGCCTCTATGCCTTCTTTGAACCGATCGAGACAGGAATGAGGTCAATGTTCTTCAAAGTAAAGCAGGGAGCTACAGCAAGCATTATTCTTTCGCGAGCCATCCGAAAGTGGACTTGGAATGGATTGCTGAACGAAGCAGCTGTGGTGATCTACGCATGGACAAATCTAAAGGACCCACGTCTTGAGCAGATCTGGCAAAAAACGTTGAACGCCTCACTGACATGCGCATAATTCGCCTGACTTGCTCTTTAGTCTTGATCGCGATACTGGTTGACAATAGTATCACAACAATATTGTACAAATAGAACATATCCCGCAAAATAAGTGCTAACGACTCATTCGTGCAATGTGCGATCCACTACTGTCCAAAGAAAGACCTTCAGGAGTGTGGGAGAATCGTCTTACCAGACGAGTTATTCTCATACGCACACGTACTCAATCTAAGCAAAAAGTCCCATTGACAAAGCCGGTCTCGTTACAAGTGATGTTGGTTGCTATTTCTTGCAGTCTCAGCTAGTGATTATTTATTCGCATAGATTAGCTTTTACTAAATAAAACGTTTACCAATGGAGTGTTTCTAGTTGTTTCTATAAACAAAACTATCGAGGCGATTAAAATCGTACAATAATTTCGTAACGTCCGCGATATACATCATCTTTAAAGAAAACTGAATATCATAACTTATAATAACGGGCTAAGGGTTGTTTACGTTTGTGTGTGTGTGTGTGTGTGTGTGTGTGTGTGTGTGTGTGTATGTGTGTGTGTGTGTGTGTGTGTGTGTGTGTGTGTGTGTGTGTGTGTGTGTGTGTGTGTGTGTGTGTGTGTGTGTGTGTGTGTGTGTGTGTGTGTGTGTGTGTGTGTGTGTGTGTGTGTGTGTGTGTGTGTGTGTGTGTGTGTGTGTGTGTGTGTGTGTGTGTGTGTGTGTGTGTGTGTGTGTGTGTGTGTGTGTGTGTGTGTGTGTGTGTGTGTGTGTGTGTGTGTGTGTGTGTGTGTGTGTGTGTGTGTGTGTGTGTGTGTGTGTGTGTGTGTGTGTGTCTGAATCTCTGTCTGTCACGAAATTCATGGAGCGAGTTCCAATGAATTTCTTGAGCCCAAATTTTGCACAGCGCCTGCTACCAACATGAGAGTCTACTATACAAAAGCACGAGCGGATCCATTGTGTGGATCCCTCAAAAAATGCGCGTCAACCGGATCCACTTGGCTTTCGGCCAGTAAAATTGAGTCTGTAGCGCAACTTTTTGCGAATTCACGGATATTTTTGACAAGTTAATGTGCAAGCTATGGTCTTTAGCCCAAAAAATTGAACTAAAGTTTATTATTTTGCGAGAACGGCGCCAAAAAGAATTGGTTGCGCAAATGTTCAATTTGCCAAGATTTTATCCGATCGTTTAAGAAGATTTTTGCACAGGTATGTAGCCCACGGTGATTATGGCATCTTATTGCGAATTTCAAGCCATGAAAAGTCCAAAATCCAATTCAAATTTGCATTTGTTCTTTCGAGAAAAGTTTCGTTCATGCGAAATTACCGATCTCATATGGAAAAGCTTTTGGAATGAATAGTTGTTTACAAATCATTCGTGGTAGTCCTCATAGCGCGGTGAGTTCCAATGTCATTATTGTGCGAGAATGAGTAAGGCATACAGATAGTAGGGCCAGTGCGAGCCTCTGCGAAGCAGAGGTGAAGCACTGGTTTACATATAACTGAATATTTACAGAGGGGAACTGACGCAAATGTATTGGGCTCTGCGTGGTCGCGAGAGTTGGTGAGTTTGCGGCCATTACACACACACATGCCACAAGACAGACCATTGAACAATCCCGTACTTTTCAAAATAATTTTGGGTAAATGAGAGCTAACTTTCAATGGCAGAAAGTTAGAAAGATAACTGAGAAAGCTCAATGCACTAGCAAATATGCAAATACTATAGGATGAGCTTGAAGACATTCCGGCGAAAACGCCGCTGGCACGGAAAGCTCATGAAGGCGCTCACGCGTCGGTACTAATGTCTGGGTACACTGTCTCAATCCCAATCATGGCAAAATTGGCACTGCAGGATCATGCGTCGGTTTTGCGTCACGCCTAAGGCCTACATGCCTGCTCTCTTCTCTCTCTCTCTTCAGTCTTTTAGCTCTCACTGACAGTGGGCATACAGTCTGCCATTCCCAAGCAGGACAAAAGGGGCATGGGAAATCCGTGGCGCAAGGATATCGCGTAACGTCTAAGGCTAGCTAGTCTGCTCTCTCCTCAACCTCTACGCTCTCTGAACAGCGCGCGTATGTAACGCAAATCTCAGCGCTACAGCGCTCTGATTTAGCCGAAGGTTTGCCCTGAACCCATTTAGGCAGACTGTAAGAAGCGCAAACCCCTAGCACTGAATCGCGTATTTTACGTTAACGCTTCAGCCTGATTCCGAGTGAGAGTGTAGTCGGAGACTGAATGATGTAATGCGCGATGTACGGGCTCTCGCCGAAGGACTTTCGGGGGGAAACCGTGGATGGGCGGGAATGTACTTTCAGTCAGTTGCCTAACTAGAGAAGCTTTTCTGCTCAGTCGTATATGCGCGACGTCTGAGTGTAACTTCTCGCAAATTGTTGATTCGCAGTACACAGGTACCCAGACTTGAATAATCTGAGTGGCCTTTAACAGAAAATTGAAATTGTCGCCCCTACAAATAATGGTAAATCTATCTCAGATTATAGTGCAAAATGGTTTCGTTGATTGACGACGCAGCGGTAATCATTAATATGTATAGATATTAATAACAATGATTCACGTGTTCAAGCGTTCTTCCCCTAGGCATATATGTAAGGTTATTTATGAAGTCATGACGGCGAATGTTGTATTTGTGCTTCACTTCGTCGCTCTCTTTCCTCCCGCTGGCTGGAGTGTGCCGCCATTGTCGGCACTTCCTAACAACTGTGTCACATTACCGAAGTATCTTATAGGTCCTGCCATAAGCATGACCTGCTGTGATAGTCTGTTATGTTACTCTACCACACCTATACCCTCAGCATTCTGCCACTGCACGAATGGGTGTATGCCGTTTGTACAAAAAAGCTTTGATAGTTTATGTGTTTTAATGACACACAAGAGCCACCATACTCCACTATAGGAGCCACCCATCCGCCTAAGGCTGTAATAAAGCCTACAACCTCCACATTTATGGTGCATCGGCCAAATACGTAAATCCGATAGGTGCTTCGCCTCAGCGACTGCACAGAGATTAGCTATTTTGACCTTGGGACCTAGCCCCTAGAATCCGCAGCCTCGTACTTAACGACAACCATTCTCCACCGCGCTCACGGACTAAGTAAATCATCCCAATTTTTGCTCAAAAATTAGCGAAAGTCTCAAAAGCAGTTGTAAGACGGTTCCTAGCACGCAAAGACTGCGAAGTAACAGTGTCTCTCTGGTCGAGCGGACTCTTACCATCAAATGTCTCTCCCATGCACGACCCATCTCGGCTGGACGCAACGGCACCTCTATGCGTATCATGAACCGTGTATATCTTCCTAGCAACTTTAAACAACAAAAATATCCCTAAAATTTTTCAAAAAGACAATCTCATTTCACTCAAGAGCACTAGCAAATCTGCCCCAAAAAATTTGAAGATTACGAATTCAAGCTCATGTTCACTTTAGAAATTGATAAAGAGCTTCAAACCCGGTTTTACCTCTTCGGAGCATTCCCGCTATGCTGAAGCCAAATCTGAGCTTTTTGGAGCTTGAAAATGCCAAAAATGAGCTTTCTTCGAAGCTTTCCGTGTCCGCGTCCAAATTAGGACGGGCGGAAGACTTTCAGAGCGGATTTTGAGCTTTCCAGAAGCGCTTTTTCGCTTCAGACTTCACTAGCAGAGTATCTGGAGGTCTACCATTGAAATACTGCGAAGTCCCGGTACCCGTAATTTTAGAGGACGCTGCCTTTGAAGAGCTCGATTTCACAAGAATTGCTTTCTGACGCTAGTACTTTTGCTATCGCTGTAGACTTTCAGATAGTATATGCAAAAAAAAAGACAAGAATTTTGCATCGTCAAGTAGCTGAAGTACGGCAATCCAGTCTTTTCAATAATTTTTTTCGTGACGCGGAAAGGGTAACGGATGTCTAACAATCATGATGGATTCCGCGACGATGGAAGAAGCCAACGAAAGTGAAGATCACCTCAGTCAATATTTTGAAGACTGCACAACCCTGGCCCGCGGAGATGCCATGGCTGACAACATACCATTAACAGAGGATAAGCTGACTTCGCAAGCAATCATGAATGGGGAACGTCGATCTAAAAGAAGCAGTGATGTATTTGGAAGACACAAAACTATGAAGCGAAAACTTACGAACAGTAAGAAATTTTAACTCATAACCCTTACCCTGTTATGTCACTGAAAAATGAAATCGACTACGTCAAGATGATCGACGATGTTCCGCCTTACCGTTGTCTACTTCCTCACCATCTTACGCCAGCTGTCATGACTACATCAACCTGGACTCCCACCCTATCTACCTAGCTGCTCAGGAACGTCCACTACGATATCTCGACGAATATGAGTATTTCTGTATATTCAAGTGTTACTTACGTTTGTGAAATGCACATTTTGTGTTTTTGTGTTTGTGTTTTGTAAGTTGAAGGACTAAAAACGTTTTATCAAACGTTTACTTTAGTCCTTCAGAGATTCAGAAGATTGAAACCATCTCTTAGTGAGCCGTTCGATGGAATTCGACAGATTATTTTTAAAAAGCGGCTCTGCAAACCTCTTGCTCATATCTTTAACATATCGATGATGCTCGGTGAGGGGCCGCAAAACTGGATGCAGGCAGCCATTATGATTCCTAAAGTTTCTAACGCACGCCCGCACTCGGATTTTTGGACAATTAGTTTGACCCCTACCGCTGTAAAAGTGATGGAGAAAGTACTACTCACTAGATTACTTTCATGACGTGAAAAGCTCAGCGTAGCCCCTGCTAGTCAACATGGTTTTATGGAAGGATCATCCACTGCCACTAATCTTGTGGACTCGATTTTTGATTGGAATTTGGCAATTAATAGTGATAGTTTTGTTAATGTTGTTTACGTTGATCTTTCCAAGGCATTTGACAGAGTTCATCACGGAAGTTTTGTACATGTTAGAACAAATCAAAATCAAAGGAAATCTTTTGAAGTGGCTGGAATCATATTTGCATAGAGGAATGACGGTGAAGGTAGAACACCACTTTTCCGAACGACACTCTATACAAGTGGCGTTCCGCAAGGAGCAATCCTTTCTCCATTACTCTTTCTATTATATGATGTTGAAATTCCATCCATTTTAAAAACATCCAAACATCTGACATTTCAGATGTATGCCGGCGACATAAAGATATATGGAAGTTATGATAACTACTAGCTGGCTTACCCGGCTCCGCCGTTGGTCCGGATCGGTTCAGAAATGGAATTTTCTATTCGGAACATACGTACAGACAGACGGACAGACATACAGACATACAGACACACAAACAGACATTCAGCTTTATATATAAGAATCTATATATATACTCAAAAATTGTCAG